AATTTTTATTTTATTTATATATTGTTATCAAGGTATTGTTGAAGAATCTGTAAGGGCGATTCATTTTCAACAAAAAATATTATTTGTTCAAAAATAAATGAAAAAAGTGTGGATGAGTGCATGAGCATTAAATCTTTTAGATTCAACAATTTCCTTGACCAATTTTGATATACCTTACTTTATATTTTTTGTATTAGAATACTTTTTACTTTTCTAACAATTTTGATACAATTTAAAAAATGGTTAATGTCAAAAATGAATTGGAATTTTAATTTTGATTGTATCTAGTAAAAGATTTAAAATACAACGAAAACAGCAATACCATCTGTGACAACAACCATCGTATTGATTAAAAAATTTAGAAATCATGTAAATAACTTAGATTAATATTTAAACAGGTTTAGATGAAGTACTCGAGTTTTTAGCAAAGTATTTAGCTTCATATAAATCAACTGCTCTTGTGAGAATATATAGTTGAAATGATCTATACTCTGCGCACATTACATAATCATGACTATACAAAGATAAGGCACTTCTGTGGAGCAGTCGTGCTTAACTATAAGAAATTTATGAAGATGTGTTTTTATTAGCAAACTGAAAATAACTGAGAATGAATTTTTTTAAACTTTTCTACCCTGGGCATCGTTTTTTTTAACCATTTGAACTTTTGCTGTATCTCGCGATAAAAAACAATATCCGCCATGATACGCATCCGGCTGGGATGATCACAGCGATTCCTCGGGCGTTGCTAAGCATTAAGTTCCGGCGAGCACAATGAGGGCCTTACAAGATATCTACACGAGTGATGAAAACAAGTATTATAGTGATGCATGAAAGAGTGGAACTTACTTTAGTATTCAAACGGACATTTCATTTTCGATTAAAAGGGTTATTGATAACTTCGTAACTCTTGCGCAAAAGACGCAAGCATCAATGAAACAATTATTCTGATGGTTAATTTTAGTACTTATCTATATAAATTTACCATTGCAATTGAATGATGAGATTAAAGTGATGGCCAAAAAATTTAACAGATAAATCGTTTGAAGAGATTATTGATGACTGTTTTACAAACAATTGAAAATTTTGTAATTAGATACTCGAACATTGTAGTAAAAGTAACTTGCTATTTTCACTAACAATTCGGGCTCTATTCACGACACTCAATCGCATCACAAATAATTATGAATCCTTTCATTCACTTTTTCATGCAATGTTTTACAAATAGATTCAAAATGTGTTTTTGTTTGTTGATGCACTCAAAACTGTGTGGAGTACATGTTAATATGCGTAGGACATAAGAAAACGCCAAAGAGATCTAAGAGAAAAAAGAATTTTTCAGAGAAACTTTGTTATCATCACAAACGGATTGCACGTATCGCTTTCAATACCTTAATTAGGTTTAAATAACTGGGAACCAATATTACTGTAATTTCTAATGAGTCGAGAATACGACAACTGCGAGAACGACCGAATTGTTAAAATGCCATTTATGAGTTCTTGATATTTCGAGTTTGTAGCTCAGGTAAATTTATATGTATTATGCAAAGTCACAGTTATTAGAAATTTTTCACTACGTATCAGTTTCTTCTAAATTATAGTTATGCCCGTTTCCCCGATCAATTTCGGTGCTGCTATGAAAAAAAAAAAAAAAAAAAAAAAAAATTGAAATTAATGCTTATCCTTTTCCACATTTTTGAAAACTAAATAAAATTGATGTCAACATGTGAAGAAGTTGGTACGTGCATGTTCAAGCTAAGAAATTGTTGGTACCAACTTTTGTCGTGTTATCGTCATTATTTTATGGTGACAGTAAGCACGTTATAAAAGAGTCAAAATTACGTTTTAGAAAAATTTTTTTATAAATAGGATAACGTTATAAAGTGTAGAGCAGAAAGTAATCGCGGAAATTAAAAGATTAAATTTATGGAAAAAAGGAGCATTTCAATGTTTACGGGCCGTGATTAGGATCAGGTTGTAAGGTAAACGAAATGTATACCAAAAAATTCAAAAACGCTTGATAAACAAAGGTTTTCATAACATTTATCTTCAGCATATGAATTTTCTTTAATTCATGCAAAAAATCAACTAAAATATTCCAGCAATCTGTTGTAAAAAAAGTTACTTTACACTCAAGTTTTTTTAGTGGTATTATTCTAAAAAGTTTGATATAATACTGCGAACCCGANTGGCTATGCCTAGCTCTTTTTATAAAGAGCTAGGCATAGCCATCTTGAATTATTGGTCAACATTATTTTCAGTTTATTCTCAACAGAGAAATTAAGTAAATGAGCTTTAAATAAGTATATGTACAAACCGCCAAGTCCTCGCCATACGATGCCACGAAGAAATGCGTTAGCAAACCCATGATAGCTGTTGGTTCCACTGTTACGTTCCTGGTGCTCCCGAACAACATGTATACGAAACATCCCATGAAACTACTGTACAATTAATACTTAAAGATAACACAAAATAAGTTTGACAGCGTTTAAAATCAATCGATACCTTATTCTACTGGAGTGATTGAAAGTACTATTTGACTCGAAATAATTTGTGATCTCTTAGCAAGGTAAAAAGTTAGTTATGTTTCCAAAAACTGAAAATGACTGGCTATTGTTATGTTACATATTATATTGTTCTCGAATTTCGCGGCTGGATCTGGAGCTAAGGACGATCTGGTGTTAGGCAGTATGGAAAGTTGGGATAAAGACTAGGGTAAGGGTGGAAAAATAGAATAAGAAATGTTAATAGTTGAGAAAATTTGAACAAGGATTATGGGTTTATTTAAATAATGGGAGATGGGGTGAGAGAGAGGAAGTGCTTTTTTCCTCTAAGAAATTTATTAATAAAAATGATAGTAGAATTTTGTAGTACCAGGAGTAATTATCAGCAACATAAAAATTATGATAAATCATGTTGATCAAAGATAAAGGTTCCATGAATTAAAAACATGTCAGGTATGACATCTGCTCTGCAACTTCGAGTTGTTGTGCACCTAAATCACATTGACGCAAAAATGGTCGCTGCTGGATTCCGTAACCATAGATTGGATTTGGAGACATCCGAAATTGTTGTCCCTGCTGATTCGGTGTAAACATTGGCTGATATTGTGAGGAATACGAATGTTGCTGATCAAACAATAGAAACTGGGCACGCAAGGATTCGTAGCTGCTCACAGATTCTACTGGATCAAGTATCTTTTGGGTTCCCTGTGCTTTTTTTACGATATTTCCACTATCGGGACAGTCTCTATTTTGTTTCTTGAATTTCATTCGGCGATTTTGGAACCATATTGTCACTTGATATTCCGTGAGATTCATCTCTTTCGCTAAACGTAATCGGCCAGCCAGGGACAAGTAATTATTCGTGTCAAATACTCTTTCAAGCTCCACAATCTGCGCTGAGCTATAAGACGTCCTCTTTCGTTTCCTATTTAATTGGTCTGGAAAATATTAAGACACGTATTATATTGAATGCATTTAAAAATTTGTAACATGATAAACATGTCAATGGAATGCTTACTTTTTGCCACCTGATTCTGAGGCTTTCGTTCCTGAGCAGCATTGAACACTTCTTCATACTGCAATTCCATTTTATTTTAAGGAAAAAGTGTATTTTCTTCTCGTAGAGTATCCTCCAATGTGGTTTCAGCAAAGGTTTGACGAGAACTCTTTCACTGTATTTGCACACACGATGATAGATGCTTTTGACACGCTTCAGTTGGAATCCGTCACACACACTAGACTCATGCTCCTATTCCAAAGGAGTTATATCCCTTTGCAGTACTTACTGACTGAGAGGCCTCAAGCCCTTCCTTCTTATCAATCAGTTAAAAAGCAATTAGAAAGCTATTAGTTAGGTCATCGCAAATGTTCATGACTAACCCGTGCCGAGGGTTGAAGTTTATCTTTGTAAACACGCTGATTTCTGTATGAGTGATGGTACAAATATATATTAGCGTCAAACTGCATCGATCTTTGTTAATAAGATTTAAAACGTTATGCGTTACTTTCTTTGACGATTCCAGAAATTTAAAGTTGCTAACGAGCCGAAATGAGCCTGAAAAATTGCAAAAGCGTCAAAAGAAGTAGTGTTTTACGTAGACAGAGTATAATTCGATGAAAGAAAGAATTAATTGTTGCAAAAAAAAATTTAAGCTCGATATGTTTGCTGCCAAATTAAATTTTTAGGATTAAATAGCTCTTTTTTCAAATCTTCAAAATAGCACGTACGAATACAGCTTATGTTATGACTTTTCTTGGAAAAAAAAATGATTTTTGTTGATTTAAAACTTGTAACAATAAATCCTTTTATTCCAATCAGCAACCCGAAAGTGGGCTGCTAAAAAAATGTCTTACATTCTTCATCCCTCCATAACTATTTAAACCAATATGTGCTCTAAAGTAGCTGAATTTGCTTTTTTTATGTTACTATGTTTATGTCATAGTTACTTTTCAAACAGCAAAACGATTTCATATTATCGATATTTTTTATAAAACCAATCTCCTTGACTTTAGTAACTTGACTTGGTTTCCATCGTATACTAAAAACAATCTTGCATATCTAT